TTGTAACATGAAAATATGAGATGAATTTCATTACGTACGCGATAATTGCGAAATTTTAATTGTACAATGCAGCAATGCTGTGTGAGAAGGAGCAAGCGGATGACGACAAGAAGAGGGTGGATAAAGAGATGGGGGGAGGGAGAGTGAGTGTATAAGGGGTGGGAGAAGTTGGAAAATGTACGGGGTATGGAGGCAAGAAATGACCGAGCTGCGAGCTGGGCATATATGTATAATTATAATAACATTACTTGACAGAAATGGCGGCGAGTGAGCCGAGCTTGTGCCAGAGCATTGAAATATTACACTTAGCAAAGGGAAAATAATTAAAATTCAACCCCTGCCCTTCTTTTCCATATACGTATTTTCTACATATCGTACTTCAAGGACGAGATACGGAAAGTTTTTTTTTTCCTTTTCGCCTTCCTAGTTACCCGGTATTCTAAAAACGTTTGTTCATTATATATAAACGATTCAAATATATCTCTAATCTTTTTTTCCTTTTCTTTATTTTAATCTAATGATTGCAATTTTTAAAAATATTAACCCTTTGTGGCCCATGATCTTAAAAAAATAAATGATGTTGATAATGAAATAACGTTAGGCATACAAATATTAATAATAATTAATTATTTTTGTTGAATTAATTATAGTATAACTATTGTTGCAGGATTATTGTTTGTTTCAAAAATGTCACATAAAGCTACAAAGGGTTAAATGATAATAAAAAAAAACTATCATTGTACAGCAATTATTAATGAAAAATTGCAAAAGAATTGTTTAATATTATTATTTATGTCCAAATGATTTTGTTGATTGAACTGTGATATTTTATAATACACTAGTAGCATAATAAAATGAAATCTATTTGAAAGAAAAATGATTATAAATTGAACCTTAGACAGAGCCATATGGTTCAGACGCTTTTACTCGATCGATCATTTATTATGGACTATACTGCTGACACTCAGTGATAGATCGCGGTAATTAGATACCTTTAAACAATACCTACATATATATAAAAGTTAGACAAGAATCGATAAAATTTTTAACTCAAATGATATAGTCTTTGGAGTATTTAATATAAAAGTTAATATATCAAAGTAGAAATCTTTAATCAATTACAGTGAGACATGTGATTTTGGATAATCATTAGAATCAATGATTTACTGTAGGTATCGTGCATTTGGCGCAACTAATCTTCCAGATAGAGGGTTAGTAACCAAGATATTTCTGAGATACGATTAAAGGAGATTTTAACTCGGGCTGCAGAAAATCCTTATTACATCCCCTTAATAACACTCAATTCCAATGTGGATTAATTGCAGATTATTTCGTCCAATGCTCTAGCTACTGTGATATTTTTTATCATAATTTACTATTTCAAATGACTTTTTTTTATTTCATTGAAACATAAAGTTAACAACACTAATATGAAATATAATGAGAAAATAATTTTCAATGATATATAAAATCAATTCTAGTGTAATCTTGATAAAGTCACGAAACTGAAAGATATGAGAATGGAAATAAGGATGAGAAGATTCATAGTGGTCGGATGTTGTATTAGATTTGCTTTCTAGGACACTTTAATCAGAATGTACCTATGTAAATTTTTGAATACACATTCTCTCGTCTCCAACGATATTTGTATAGGTCAGGCAAAGGTATTTTCCTGGTCTGGACCAAAAGGACGTAGGATTGGATGAACAGGATGAATGAAGGCAAGGAGGGTAGGAACATGGTGCGGAAGGTATATCTATGCTATGCCGTGCGTCCTGGGAATTAAAGAATTTGCAATTCTGAATTTTGGGCGATAGAGTATATGCATATACATTATATATATTACACAGTGTTACTATATTTTTGACGATGAGCTGGAACGTACTGCTAAGATCACCAGTACAATTCATGAGAAACACATGAAACTAAAAGAATTGTCATGCATGTAAATTATATTTTTCTTTTTTTTTAATCATCATCATCATCATCATTAAATAATAAATAAAATAATTAAATTTTAATACATGATTATTAATAAAATTAAGATTTGAAGTAATCGTAAAAGAGACAAAGAGACGTAAAAAAATAAATTCAGCTATTCTTCTGAGAGACTGAGATCAAATAATTTTTTAGAGTATATGTAAAAAAATCTATGTGGATGTTGTTATTCTTTGCGGATTATGAGAGCTAGTAGCCGCGCTTCGAACCAGGGTCTTTATGCGAAGATCGGAAAAAGGGTGTAGAAAGTATATAGAGTATGAGGTTCCAGGCAAAGAGAAAGAGAGAAGAAAAGATATAAAAAAAAAGAAGACAGAAGGAGAGAATGAATTAAAATTTTACAACGACAACTGACAATCGCGCATTTACCCAGAGCTCTCAGTTTGGCTAACCCCGCGGGTGATCCTCCATTGTCTCTACGCCCTTTACACCCTCTCACCCTCATACCCCTAGTTAGGAAGCGTGCGATAATAAATATAGAGAAAATGAAAAATTATTAAAAACTTCCTTTTTAGCCTTGGTAATCCTCGTCGCCCCCAGAGATGCTGCATTAAAAACCTTCCCCTTCCTTCTTCATCATTTTCCTCTGCCCCTTTCACCCTCTTCCCTACCCCTCTCATTTCTCTCCTTCCCCAGTTTCACCTCTGACTACAGTCCTCAGGGTACGCGTCCGGCCACGCGAATTATTTATACGCGAGAGTCTCTCTGACGACATTACCACCGTGTTTGTATTAAATCATAATGAACGAACCGTTACGAGTTACCGAGACTTATATCCTTCCCCAAGCTCTAGTCATTTTTTTGTTGGTGTCATCAAATCTACACTCTGACGTCTACATCCGTCATTTCTTATTTTATTTTTTGCTAATAAACAAATCATGTTTCTATTTTTTGTTTGTCCTCAAATAAATCCCATTATATGAATTCTAATTTATTATAAGATAAAAACATTTGACAAGACAAAAAATGATTATCCGTCAATATTGTAATTTAGAGAATATAATAATAAAAAATGAAAATTAATATATATACAGACATAAATAAGGATAAATAAGAAACGGGAGTAACCGTAAGAAATGTGTATTAATGAGAATAAAGGGAGCAGAATAAGGACGGTCGCCATGGTTACTGTGAATTAAGTAATCAATGAATTATTATTGACATTGATGTTTTGGTGCTATGATGGCTCAAGCTTTTCTCTATCTCGCTTACCCTCACTCTTTTTACTTACTTCATTTCATCCCCTTCATACTCTATTCGCTGCTTTGCTCTTCGCTTTATCGTCACCCTCGTCATCATATCGCACGACATCGCGCGCGATATTTCAAGACTCATAAAGCCCTGATTAATACCACGGCACTACGTTTCATCAGATATCAAACGACAGGATGTGATTGCCTTGATGTATAAAGCAACATCTATAGTAAATTATTCATCGAAATATCCTTTTTTTTGTTTTGCAGCTTCAATAAATTAATTTTATAAACATAAATTGATATTAATTTTTTTTCAATAAATTCAAAGAAAGAAAGTTTAAAAGCTTAGTGATATTTCAGTCTTCTTGGTGAAGAAAAAAACATGTAAATTTTAACATGACAGTGTGACATTACCAAAAAAGTGTCAACACTACCATTATTACCGATAGAAAAATAAATATAAAAAAAGAATGATGTTGAAGATAGGAAATGAAATCAATTATTCATTCCAATTGGCCAGGGGAAAAAGTCCTAATTATCCGGGGCAAATACAACCTTAATACTTAAAAATGTTTCTTCCCTTCTCTCCTCTCATCTCGTTTTTTTTCTACTCCCGTTCACGACTCTCATTCCATTCTTTTATTTCATTCTTCGCTTTCTTTTTACTTTTCCCATCTCTTACCACGTCAATGTACGATCTTTCATTATTTGCTTCTCTTTTCTTCTTTCTAGTATGCCCAGAACGTGAATGACCATTTGTGTTTCCAATTAGCTTTTGCTAATAAGACGGGTAGTATTGCCATAGACCGAAGAAAAATAAATAAAATAAAAAAAAATTAAATAATACAAAGATGACGAAGAGAAAGAAATGTATAACCTCATCCGCACAGTCACTAGGGAAATAAAGAAAAGCGCCGTTCAAGTATGACAATACTGAGACTGGGTTTGATAATGTTATACTGGATGAATTGCAATTAAAAAAAAAATTTTGTTCACCCTCATTTAACCTACCCGCCTGTTCGTCTTTTCTCTATTCATTTTAAGTCTTTTTTCCATTTTGTATTAATAACATTATCAGGTTAAATCAAAATAAAATATTTTCTTCTAAACATTGTCACAACAATAATTATATTCTTTGTTACTATTCAATATCATTTATAACAATACTTATACTTTCTCAATATTTTTTATTTAAATCATCCTCAACAACAATTAAAATATACAATCATGTTTATTCTTGATTTAAAAATTTTAAAATAAAATTTAAAAACTTGGAACAACTTTATAAATAATAAAGACTATTAAAATAATAAATTTAAATAATTTATTTATAATAAAAAAAAAAAATTAAAAGAACGATTATAAATGATTAAATTCAATTATTATTTGTAATAATAAAATTCAATGTCAATTATTTATTAGAATAGATTGAATTAATAACATTTTAATCCGTGTATTATGGAGTAAAGTGGATTTATTATTGTGAGAAATATTGAATAGAGTTGTATGTTCGAGTGGCGGATTGTAGAATCAATCGACAACACTTTTGTGGCGGCTTGTCAATTAAACACCTTTGTTTATTGAGATCGCACGTGTCTCGAGGTTCATGCACTCTATTTCCAGGAATTTTACCTCTAATATAAACTCAAATCTGTCCTAATATGGTGTTTGCAAACTCAATGTCTTTACCTTATGCTTTCACGATTCTCAAGGATTTTTCAATGTCACCGATAATTGAAATTCCCTCCTATTTATTATTTTGAAATATATTCGATTGAAGAGAAATTAGTAAGATGACGTTTGGAACTTAGTAACAACCGGACAGTATAATAGTGACAACCAAGGTGATTAGTTTTTCAAATTGGTTTAAACCGAGTGATCGTTCATCAGTTGAATTATTTCAATTAATAATTCAGCAAAAGAGAAATTAATTTTGTATTTTTACCATTATGAGAGTAAAAAATTATCCGAAACGGAGAATTCAAAGAAACTTTTCTACTAAATGTGAAAATATATCTAATTGTAATGTACAATGGAATATACCAATGAATGTTGGACAATTACAAGAAAACAATACTTGTAATGCATACACGGTAATTAATGTATTTTTAAATAATTAATCTAAAATATTTCGAACTTTTGTTGTTTAATCATTGGAATTGTATTTGTTTATAGAATCATGCTTACGTTTATGAAGCATTGAATTTAGAAATGAAAAAAGCATCAATATCAGTGGAAGAATTTAATAATTCAGAGTTATCTGAAGCTCTAGATTTATCAATCAAAAACATACCTGTATCGACTCCAAATGAATTTTTATCATCGTCAGATCCAAAGAAAGAATTCAAAGATTTGTACTTATACAAAATATTAACTAATCAACAATTGCTGGATGATTTAAAAAAAAATGTGAATGCTAATGAAAATGAAAGTGATGATAACTCATTGAGTTGTCAATATTGTAAACGACAGTTTACATCTGAACAGGAATTAATGGAACACTCGAATGTCACAAAAAATATTATTACCAATAAAGTGTCCTGCTGTGCTTGTCAAAAAACATTTTCGCAAAAGCGATATTTAAAATATCACCAACGATGCCACTCCGACAGGAATAAATTCACGTGTGATATTTGCAGGAAGAAATATTCTCGATTGGACAATTTGACACGCCACAATATTTTCCACACAAATCCAAACAAATTTCGATGTTCATTTTGTGATAGAACATTCGCCAGAAAGGATTTACTTAATAAACATATTAAATCACATGAAAATAAGAATCGCTATCGTTGTGAAATATGTCAGAAATCGTTCAAAGGGCCAATAACTCTAAAAAATCATAATGAAATTTTTCATGTGAATGAATAATTATTAAAATATTAATTTATTCTTTTCTATAATTATATTATACGTCAATTGCATACTCTATGTAAATATTTTCCTTTTGAAGAAAAATATTTAAATAAAAGAAATTTAAAATATTAAATTAAATATTTTTTTCTGCACTTGTTCATTTAAATTCCCTTTCTTTCCTTCTTTTTTTTTCAGTTATTAAAATTATTAATATCTGTTCAATTTATTGATAACATTTAAATATTATTTATAAAGATTTTATTCTTCTAAAAAGTAATTATAGGAGTTTTCATTAAATACCAGGATTTGTTTCTGAGTTTTCATTATTATTATTCATCCTTCTTATAAAAGAATAAAGCAGAACTTAAAATTAAAAAATTTTATCATTCAAGCAAATTATTAACACAGAAAATCATTTACACCAGACGCTTCCGGCTAACTTCTTTATTCTCATTCATTTCACATTCCTTTGATCCGTCTGCACATCTAACATATATTCCATATGTGCATGACTTGACCAACAATGTAACAAAGTTTCTGCCTTGAGAAATATAACATTCCAACTGTCGCACGATACGACACAAGAAGATGATTCAGATTCCGTGGTTACTTTCTATATGAATATTCGTCTAGTCAACTATTTGACTGTAAATTTTTCCACCTTTTTTCTAAATTATTCATTTAATCTTTTATCAAAGTTACATTATTAAACCTTGGAAAATTTAATCGTAACATCAATAAAGAAAAAAGTAATTTTTTTGTTTAAAAATAAATAATTTATAAAATAGATTACAAAGTGGAGTTTGGATAAAAGAAGGCCGAGTATCATTTGGGTTGTATCATAAGCACACGAAGTGCACTTGGCCATCAAATAACATTGGCGTCGCCTATAACCGGCTTACGTTCCACCATAAACTTGGCTTGACCCAATCCCTTTTCTCTCTTTCTTTCTATTTAACTTTTTCTTACTGAGGCTCCACTATGTCTTCTGCTACTAACCTTGCTATCTACAGTCACACTAACTCGTGATCAGGCAGCCTAACCAACGTCGAACTAACGTTGAATCAGGAGTTAAAGCACTTTGGGGCAGCTTAAGCTCACGATATCAGTTGATTGGGTCGAATAACTGGTGCTTGCAGCTTAACTTACCTTTCATCTTAGTTTCAAAATAAATGATAAATAAATCATGATTAACTCATTTGATCTTTTTTTTTTTTAAAGAAAAAAAATAAATAAATTCATTTGTGCTATCAACTATTTTCATTATTTTCTGACTGATAAATTTCATGTTCTTTTTTTCTGATTCATAATTTTTTATTCCTATATTTAGTGATATTCTTTGCACATTTATTAATTACAGTTATTGAGGGTTAGCTTGTCTAATAACTAACTAATATCACTATTAACGTGCTTATGTGTGTATTAAATGTAATATAAACCTTTATAGCTAGAATGTGTGTCTGTTCAATTTATCCCTTATTTTCTTGTCTTATATAGCTATTCTATATCACATATATATATATATCTACTATCACCACAGCATTCATAAAGTATAGAATAAAAGTAGGGTCATCGGTAGACAATGTTTTTTCCTTCACTTATGACCCTATACCCTCATTTATCTCTTATATACAATGTATAAAAAAAAGCATCGACAGAAAAATTCAATATGATGCTCTTTCACTCACTTTTTTGATGAAAATAAATTTACTTTAATATATTTCAATAAACTATAGATTCTTTTAATGAATAAATAAATATTCAACTTTATTGACAAATGATTGGTATTATTTTATAATAATGAATTAATAAATAATTGAAGAGAATCTTACGGAAACTTTCTCTACTTGCATGGAAATTAAATAATTAACTAAATAGTAATAATGAATTTTATTTAAATGATAGGAAATTGATAATCAATAGTAAACAAATACATAGAAAGACCACCAGAGCGTTGTCGGCAAGTGTGAAAGACTCGTGAGGGATTGAAAAAGAAGAGAGGGAAGAGGACGCGTGCGATGAGGCGATACCAAGCGGCTAAAGACTAAAAGGAAAAATGTAGTAGAGGGGAGAAAAGAGACGTTGCGTAGTTTGTCGATACAAGGAGTTGATTGTCAAGTAAAAGGGACCGCCAGGGAATCATACCAAGTTCAACTACAAGCGACTGTTTGTATCCCAATAGATTTCGATGTGAAGATACCGTACATCGTACACCCCATCTTAAATGCTCAGCTCAGCTATTAGCTTCAGCTTTGATTGGCTCAATTTAATGGCCAAGGCGCATGCATATAAATTGCTACTTTTACTTGCTTTGAAGATATTTTCATCCAAGTTTTTTTTTCCTATTCTACTTATTATTTATTGTTGCATTTTCACTACTCTTATCATATTCTTTCTAAAATTAAAAAGAAAACATTACATTTTAATTTCCAACAATAAATATTTACTATTTATGTCATTTAATAATACAAATGATTGAATAATAATTATTATTATTATTATTATTTATGTGAAATGAAAATGAAGACAATGGGTTTTGAAAAAATAATTTGGATCGATTGGAAAAATTGGAAGAAAAAAAATCCAATTGCATAAGTTAAAAAGTTTATAACAAAAGAAAATAAAGGTTAAAAAAGAAGTTGAGAAAAGCAAAGCTTGAAGAAGGATAGTAACTTGTGAGTCTGAGATTGGATGGGAAATGGCGACTCTTTATACGAGAATGATGAAGGAATTGAAGTGTACTTGGATAAAAAGAAAGTAAGAACTGGAGAAGAGCAAAAGAGAAGTTACTGAAGTGGTTGATAAAGTCAGTAGAAGTTTATATCATTCTAATATTGATAAAAAAAAAAATGAACAGAATACAAAAAAAAATTGGATAAAAATAAAAAGTGATAAAAATATCTATTCAATTGTTTAGCTATCATCATACCATTTTTCTTTATTAGAAATCTTGGTATTAGATAGAAATATTAATCTTGGTATTGAATTAATATCCAATACTTATAATGATGACTGAAATGCTATTATTTATTGATCTTAGATAATATTATTTATGAATCTCTGATAATCCTTATATAAAGACAGAAAATCTCTTTAATGTATAGAGAAGATGATAGACTTTGTTGTAATAACGTTTGATTCGCCCTTCGGTTTATATCACTTTCTCATTGCTACGAAAAATCCAATACGACTATAACGCCTGTGCCAGGGCCATCGGATTTTATTGGCAATATGCTATAATTTCTAACATTAGATGCCACTGACACTTTTGGACTCATTATCTCCAAGCTACTATCCCGATACGTGACCTTTTTCCGGCCCCTCCTAAAACTAAACACCATAATATTATTTTGATAAGAAAATATCGATGGAGTTTATCGAATACATTTTTTGATAATAATTACAATTGTTCCTTTTATCTACATTTTATTATAAAAAATTTTAAAAACTAATAAACTATTTTTAATTAATATTTTTCTAAATAGTTTAAACAATTCTTTCAATAAATTGGACAATAATGTTTTTTATTATATAAATATTTGTGTCTTCAAGTATCATTTTTTTTTATGTAATAATATTTAATACAATTATGGAAAATTTATTTTCCCTACTAGTGGAATATAAATGTAGGTAAAAAAGCCATAACATAACTTGAATTATTTTTATTCTATCTTCTTAAAATTGATATGTTTAAGATTAGTATTATAACTGGTAATTATTGATCAATTATTCCATGATCAATGGAATCTTTAAGCTTATTTTTTATCTATGAAAATCTTCATGATTTTGTTAGATTTACTTAATACTTTTCGTAAAAAATAAACAAATAAGTTGAGGGCTGTAACAAGATGGTTTGTCGGTTGAGTAGCTATTGAGATTGAGGTTGGTTGGAATATTGGAGGCAATGAGGCAAGTTACTTTTAACAAGACGACTCAGTAGTACCCTTTTGAATGATCCCCTTCTATGTCAACTGCTGGCCACAAAAACATTTATAAGAATTCAATGATTGTTATTATTAGAGAAAAAAGAAAAATATCAAAAATTTTCCAAATCAAAGTGTTATAATGATTATAACTATATCAAATAAATAATTAAGATTTAAACTTAACATTATCTGTAACTAAACAAAATGACTTTTTAGTGATTTTTGAGAAAAAAATCTGTTCTATTCTACCTCTCCTTACGAACATTTGCGGTCTTCAACATATACTTTTTACAGATACCGGCGTGAAACATCAAACGTTCCGCAGCAAAACCGATGGCACGAGGGTGAAGTAACAGAAAAGGAAGCGAGAAACTGAAAGAGAGAAAGCGCAATGTTACAGAACATTTTCAGTGGCACGTCGGCTCTTTGTACTTATACAATCATAAGATCATTCTTGCTTTTTACATTATGAGTGCATTGCACTTATAAGGAAAAAAGTTAATGTGAATTACCCAAGAAAACTAACCTGCGTCAAATCAAAATACACTATTCCAATGAATAGTATGTGGAAGTAGAAAATTCACTATTACTTCAGACATCCTACTTTTTTAAATCATTTTTCAACCGTCAAGAACAGCTTAATTGTATTTTTACAACAAAAACTAATCAATTATAAATTGTAGAATGGACAAAAGAAAACTGAAATAATATTTTCATAAGTAATATCAAATAATAAACAATTTTATTTGGTTTATTTGTAAAATAATTGTTCCATTAATCGTGCACGCGAATGCACACAAATTTGTTTGGTGTCACTTGCCAGTGTGGACAAACGAATTGCCAAAGGACTAGGGTAAGGGTGAAAAGTGCGTCAAGTACCGGCTGAAGAGGAGCGACGACAAGTGCGACTGTTTTTGGAGGATGGAGAAAGTAGTACAGGGAATAGGGGAAAGTAGGGTAAAGAGAGTGGATGACAACGAGAAGAGTGCAACGGTCAGGAGAGTGAGAGGTTAACGATGTTCAAGTTTTCATCCTCGGTATATTTTGATAAGCCACCGAATTCCGTGGAATTCCACTTATGGCACTTGCAAATTGTACCATTATTTATTATCGACATTTTTGTACCAATTAATTTTT